GCCGTACCGAAACAAAGATTATCCCACTGGATTGTGGATGCCATTTCACTCGCTTATTCGAGTCGAGGTCAGCCGTGTCCCCCGGGAGTACGTGCACACTCCACTCGGAGCGTTGCATCCTCTTGGGCGCGTGCACGCGGCGCCTCTCTAACAGACATCTGTAGAGCTGCGGGCTGGGCGACACCCAACACATTTGCAAGGTTTTACAATCTGCGAGTGGAGCCGGTTTCCTCAAGGGTATTAGGTAACCCTTTGGTGATTGAGGAGACAACTCGGTAGGGTGTTGAAACACGCTTGCTGCGCCATTCTCCCTAACACGGAGGTACGTGCGCCTTTTTTATCTGTCAGTAAAGTTCCCCGTCAGGTGAGCCCTGCAGATTCCTCCGTGGCCCCCAGCACTGACTCAGCGGAGGAGTCACTTGCTGGCCCACTACGTTGTAGGTCTGCCCGCTGGTCAGCCCGCGTTTTGGGTATAGGTGCCTGCTATGCGTGATCCCCACTAGGCGATCCCATATGCTTATTCCGCCACGGTTAAGTCCCCCCCCTGGGCGGACCCGTGTCTTCCCTCTCCGCTAACCACTCTTTGCTATGCGTACTCCCCCTTTTTAGGGCTAGTCCATAGGTAAATTCTGCCATCTATCCCCCCCTTGGGTAACGGATGGCCTCCGCAGCGTCCTCCCTATCGGGATTGCACGCTTCCCAACGTACTGTCGTATTTCCTAGAATTATCTAGATGCTCACGACTTCCCAAAAAATATATCTAAATCCGTAAAACTTCTGTTGAAGTAGGATAAATTAGGGCCAGGGACACGTTGGAGGACCGCGCCCCCCATGATGTGGGTGCGTCACGCTTGCTTGACTATCTCCTCATCGGGGGTGTTGGTAAGGTGCAGTCATTATGGCGCTTTCCATATTCTCCCATTCATGGCACTGAAGTTCCCCAACCGAAGGGGAACGTTCGAGGTTACAGAAGTAACCCTTCGTTCCCCGAGGAGGGGAACGGAAGTGCCATATTCCGTCGCCATAATGACTGTCCCTTAGCTGTTTGAAAGTCTCTTCAGCTTAAAAGGATGGCGTCTGCTGGCTTCAGGTGTGCTTATATGCTGAGATGATTGCAGATGTCGCACACCTGCGCAAGCTTACGCTGCCAATTAATTTCATTCATTGGCCCGTTCAATACTCTCCAGATAAGCGGCTTCTGATCCGAATCCTCCCATTCATGGCACTTCCGTTCCCCTCCTCGGGGAACGAAGGGTTACTTCTGTAACCTCGAACGTTCTGAGTTATGATTTTTGTTGACCTGGAAAAACAGTTCAGGACACATAAGAATTGTGTTGTTATTGCAGAGTTTAACCATAATGAGATGAAAGTTTTTCAGTTGCATATGTTTTTAAGGCCTGACAGCGTTCAAAGTATTCAGGCACAAGAAATGTTACCATTGTAGCTTCAATAAAGGATAATTTTATTGAAATATTCACACAGTAAAGCAAATTCTGAACCTGAATACTATTTGACTGCCTCAAAAACCATAAAACACTGTTTATTTCACTTTTATCTTTGCTTTTAATAAATTTTTTGACATTTTTACGAATGATTCACTTCCCTGCAGAATCATCACAATCAATTTAAATTAATAAATCCTTTCTAAATAGCAGCTTTCAAGTCATCTGGTGAAACTGTTTATATATTGTATGATCTGGTAAAAATGTATATACTGTATATCTCGCAGATAAAAAATATCGCAATGTCAGATTTTTTCCAATATCGAGCAGCCCTACTTTAGACTTGTTTAAGAATAATCTGGGAACCAAGAGAAATCTCCATCTGCTCTCAGCTTTATGTCATGGATAGGTGAAACAATTGAGAAATCTGATTTCCTGACTTCTGTTTGGTGGCCATAGGCACCGGGTGGGCTTATCAGTGGGTGGTTTAATTACATAATTTGGGTTAATTACCACACTAATGATGCTAAGCTGTAGCTGCAGTTGCATTTAATGAACATCAGAGCCTTACATCCAGCTTTCACCCCCTTAAATGGTCTCTGTGGCTTTTTGGATTCCCCCACCGTCTCCAACGCGAGAGGCAGATGTGTCGCTCTGTATGTTTCTGGCTTGAGGAATAGCCCCGGGACATACTCTGCTTCTGAGGCCTGATAAACTGACTGGCCCAGCTGGTGCCGTCACCCCTCAATCTGTGCGAGAGTGTTCTCACACAGTCTGGGCCGGTATTAAGTGTCAGCTTATAACAGGTGTGACGCTCTTTCGGTCTGTGACAATATCGGCTTTCTCTTTCATTCTCATGGCAGTGACAGACTGATGTTGCTTTCAATCGCTGTGGTCTTAAAGCGGTCACATCTTATTTTTAATGTAACTGTTATGAGTCTCAGTTTTAGTTTTGTTTTATGACTTTAAACCCTCTTTGTCTAATCCTAAAAGGTACTTTGACTGGTTTTAACTACACTGTAAAATGTATCTGTAATTAACAGTTTCCCTATTTTAAGTGTTTTCTGCTTATTTATGGTTGTGAATTGCATCAGATGTTGATTTTGCTCTGTCGACTTTTGATGATGAAAATTTCACTCTACAGTTTAATAAAGGGACTTTTATTTACATTTTAGTAATGATATGATGTATAAGAAATAGTATATGCACAAATAGGTTTGTAAAATAACAGAAAATGTAGTGGCAGATTATTAAAATGTTTTGGTAGTGTAATATACAACAATAACCCAGACTATATATCACTTTAAACTATTAAAAATGATAATAAAAGCCACTTTTTCAAACTTTTAAAGGTTAAAAGTTGTTGGAAGAAAGATTAAGCTCCCATAATGCAATTTAAAAGCATAAACAAATTGAAAAAAGAAAATAAAAACATGAATAAAAAATATGGAAACTTACGCTAATTAACAGATATATTTTTACAGTGTAGTCTTGTTTATGTAGGAATATCGGCTTTCTCTTTCATTCTCATGGCAGTGACAGACTGATGTTGCTTTCAATCGCTGTGGTATTAAAGCGGTCACATCTTATTTTTAATGCCACTGTTAAGAATCTCAGTTTTAGTTTTGTTTTATGACTTTAAACCCTTTTTGTCTAATCCTAAAAGGTACTTTGACTGGTTTTAACTACACTGTAAAATGTATCTGTTAATTAACAGTTTTCCTATTTTAAGTGTTTTCTGTTTATTTATGGTTGTGAATTGCATCAGATGTTGATTTTGCTCTGTTGACTTTTGATGTTAAAAATTCCACACTACAGTTTAATAAAGGGACTTTTATTTACATTTTAGTAATGATATGATGTATAAGAAATAGTATATGCACAAATAGGTTTGTAAAATAACAGAAAATGTAGTGGCAGATTATTAAAATGTTTTGGTAGTGTAATATACAACAATAACCCAGACTATATATCACTTTAAACTAATAAAAATGATAATAAAAGCCACTTAATCAAACTATTAACGGTTAAAAGTTGTTGGAAGAAAGATTAAGCTCCCATAATGCAATTTAAAAGCATAAACAAATTGAAAAAAGAAAATAAAAACATGAATAAAAAATATGGAAACTTACGCTAATTAACAGATATATTTTTACAGTGTAGTCTTGTTTATGTAGGAATATCGGCTTTCTCTTTCATTCTCATGGCAGTAACAGACTGATGTTGCTTTCAATCGCTGTGGTCTTAAAGCGGTCACATCTTATTTTTAATGCCACTGTTATGAGTCTCAGTTTTAGTTTTGTTTTATGACTTTAAACCCTCTTTGTCTAATCTTAAAAGATACATTAACTGGTTTTAACTACACTGTAAAATGTATCTGTTAATTAACAGTTTTCCTGTTTTAAGTATTTTCTGTTTATTTATGGTTGTGAATTGCATCAGATGTTGATTTTGCTCTGTCGACTTTTGATGATGAAAATTTCACTCTACAGTTTAATAAAGGGAATTTTATTGACATTTTAGTAATGATATAACTAATGTACTGGATAAGAAATAATATATGCACAAATAAGTTTGTAAAATAGCAAAAAATGTACTGGCAGATTATTAAATTGTTTTGCTTGCGTAATATACAACAACAACCCAGACAATATCGCTTTAAACTATTAAAAATGATAATAAAAGCCACTTTTTTAAACTTTTAACAGTTAAAAGTTGTTGGAAGAAAGATCGAGCTCCCATTATGCAATTTAGAAGCATAAACAAATTGAAAAAAGAAAATAAAAGCATGAATCAAAATATGGAAATTTATGCTAATGAACAGATATATTTACGTTATATTAAGCCCTGAATGTTTTCCCAATGATGAATTGCAGATGGAAGGGCATCCGCTGCTTAAAACATATGCTGGATAAGTTGGCGGCTCATCCTGCTGTGGCGACCGGGGATTAATAAAGGCACTAAGCAGAAAAGAAAATGAATGAAGCCCTGAATGTCATGAAAGCCATGGTTGCCTTTAAATCACTTGGATTGTAAAATGTTATAAAAAAATAACTATTTACAGGGCTTCATTCATTCTCTTTTCTTTTGGCTTAGTCCCTTATTTATCAGGGGTTGCCACAGCGGAATGAACCGTCAACTATTCTACCATTAATTTACGCAGCAGATACCTTTCCATCCTCAACCCAGTACTGAGAAACACCTATATACTCTCACACACTCATACACTACGGCTAATTTAGTTCATTCAATTCACCTGTAGTGCATGACTTTGGATTGTGGGGGAAACCGGAGCACCCAGGGAAAACACACGCCAACACAGGGAGAACATGCAAACTCTACACAGAAATGCAAATAGTCCAGCTGGGACTCGAACCAGTCACTTTCCTGCTGCAAGGCTACAGTGCTAACCATTGAGCCACCGTGCCGCCTTAAATATGAATTTTTTTTTTTTTTACAAAAACTAATTTACCATTAACATCTCACAAGAGTCCAAGGAAGATTCAACTCCTCATGTTATCAGCAGCTCTTAATACCATATGTCTGTTCGTCTTTCAGTCATGGCTGCGGATGTACGGCTACCTCCCGCAGGCCAGCAGGCAGATGTCCACCATGCGCTCAGCTCAAATCCTGTCCAACGCCATCAGTGACATGCAGCGCTTCTACGGGCTGGAGATCACCGGAGAGATGGACCCCGGCACCATCGAGTAAGAGATGCGCTTGCTCCATCACCTGAGCTAATGTTTCAGCTACAACCATCCCAAAGCATTTATTTTTCATGATGCACTTAAATCCCACTACACTTGAAATTGAACAGAAACAAAGAGCTAACCTTAAAGAAACCTTTAGGAAATACCATGGGTTATTTAATGTCCAAGCAATTCTCTTTTTTTTAGGTGGAGGATGTTCTTTATTAATATAGACATTACCTTTTTTTAACTAATATTGTTGTCTGCCTGGTTTAAATGCATGAGGTTTTTAATGATTAATTATTTATGCTAATACACTGTTGGTTCTGGATTTTTTCCCCCATTTATTTTTCTAAGGTATTTCAAAATGTCTTTGTTAATAGTGTAAACCATATGAGGAGAATCACAACAGTGCAAACATTGTTTTGAAGAAGTAATATACAGTAGATAAAGGTACAAAACAGTATATTTAAAGGGAATCTTTACTTACAGTAGAAATGTAAATGTACTCACTATTTACTCGCCCTCAAGTGATTAGTGTTGCCAACTATTTTCAATGAAAAGGCTCTAAGCTCTGCCGTAAAAGTCGCTAAATATCACTAGATTACATCATACATCAATTTGCATATAACTGACGTCATCACGTCTAACATTTTCTGTTTGATTAACAGCCTATGGTTAATAATGGTGTATTTACATTTGCTTTACGCTTTATGCATGTCAATTTAACTAAATTTATTGCTGTTTGAATATAGTATATCAGTATAGATGTGTTGTAGTGATGTGCAAATGGCGGTTAAATCTGCGGGCGCAGATAATCCGCAATTCAGGCGGGTTGGATAATAAATAAATACATTATGTTTAATTGCGGGTCGATTGCGGGTGGATGTATTGGGACATGGCAGTGGATCAGCGAAAAAACAGAGTGGGCTTTGCAGAATGGGAAGATAAGTCGCCCAAAATAATGCATAAAGTGCAAGAGTAGCCTTCTGTTCACAGTTTCAGTTAGAAGAGTCATCAGAGGAAAACCTGCTATTTTTCTGGGAGCAACAAGATTGCTTATTTACACGACTGCAGTGCATTGCGAGGAGAATCATCTTTATTCCTACAACAAGCGCTGCAAGCGAACGCTCATTCAGTGCAGCTGGCCGGGTTTTGGAGGCGAGGTGGAATCGCCCAAATTTAGGCACAGTAGATGCTGTTCTGTTTTTGCACAGTGCGAATAAAAAGGCCAAGTAAACATAACAAAGCTGCCAGTTAGGCTGAAGTGGCACCCTTTTTGTTATCTTGATCCTGTATCTGTAAAGTTAAAATGTCTTATTTTTATTTTCTGTATTTGAAAATGAAGAAAATTATATTCAAAAACAAACTTTTGTTTTTATAAATAAATGTTCATTTAAAAACGTTTAGGATTAACGCATTGTTTTACTATCAGATATGCACAGATTATAGCTCTCTGAATCTGCTGTTAATATCCACGGTGACCTATCATCATGCCTAAAACAAGTCCCGGAAGAAAGCTTAAGGGATCTTCGTGCCTAGGGCTCCCCCCTTTCGCAGGGCGAGGGGAAATTGAGCTCAGGTCGATCTCAGACTCCCCCACTGCTGAGGCCAAGGTCAACTTCGTGAGAGCAAGACATTAGAATAAAGATTTAGGCTTATTTTATCTATATCATAGAGCATATTTGGATGGTGGGAGGAAAATGGGGAACCCGGGGGAAACCCATGCAGACACGGGGAGAACATGCAAACTCCGCACAGAAATACCAGATGGCCCTGCGAAGACCCGATGCCATTGGTATTCTTGCTATGAGGCAACAGTGCTAGTCACTGGGCCACCGTGCTGCCAATTCTAGATAAAGATGAAAGAAGGGGAGGAGGGGGTTTCATCCATACGAAGATAGTTGTAGAAAGGGAATAAGGATATATGTATAGCGACGGTATCCTTTGATTGGAGAATGTTGATTTGCTAATGTGGACCAATCATGAGCACATGCTCCTCTCGAAATTCGTTTAAGATTAAACTTCACTTTGGGGGACAACTTAATTGATTTCTATTCAATCCAACTAAATTTGTAAAAAAGTTAATCTATTTGTGTGTGGACAACATGAAGGAATTGTGTGGAACTTAGCAATTTTTTACAGTGTAAGCACAGACCCTCATCTGTTTCTTTCTTTTCAGGGCCATGAAGAGACCTCGCTGTGGGGTCCCAGACAAGTTTGGGGCTCAAATCAAGACCAATGTACGACGGAAACGTTATGCCCTCACTGGCCACAAGTGGGACAAAACTCACATAACCTTCAGGTGAAATCTGACTATTCAATCCATATCCTCATTATTCTCAGGGACTTTATAGATGTCCATTGAACCCCTTGTCTTTCTTGTGTCTGTCTCAACCGCAGTATCCAGAACTACACTCCTAAAATCGGGGAGTACAACTCGTATGAGGCCATCCGAAGGGCTTTCAGAGTGTGGGAGAAAGTGACGCCGCTCACATTTGATGAGATTCCTTTTCATGAGGTCAAATATGGTCGACGGAAGGAGCCAGATATCATGATCTTCTTTGCGTCTGGTTTTCACGGGGACAGCTCACCGTTTGATGGAGAAGGTGGTTTTCTGGCACATGCTTACTTCCCTGGTCCAGGGATGGGTGGAGATACTCACTTTGACTCGGACGAACCGTGGACCATTGGATCACAAAACCTACAAGGTGAATCTTAAGCGTTTTTTTATTGTGTAATATACAGAATTATTAGTCCTCCTGTATTTATATTTTTTGCTACCAAGATACTAGTATTCAGCTTAAATTGCAATTTAAAGGCATTTAAATGGGTTAATTAGGTAAGTCAGAGTAATTTGGCAAGTCATTGTATAACGATGGTTTGTTCTGTAGACAATCGAAAAACAATATTGCTTAAGGGGGCTAATAATATTGACCTTAAAAATGTTTAATAAAAATTAAAAACTGCTTTTATTATAGCCGAAATAAAACAAATAAGACTTTCTCCAGAAGAAAAAAAATATTATTGGAAATACTGGGCAAAAATTCCTTTGGAAATTTGGGAAATAATTGAAAACGGAAAAACATCTTTTTTGACTGCAACTGAAGGCAAATCATGTAATATTGGTCAAATTGTAATATTTGCAAAACTGATTAAAGATTTGGGGTCTGGAAGATATTTATGTTTTCTTATATTTGTCACAATCACCAGCGATCTAAACTCTATAGATCGCTGGAATACACATTTTGTATTTGGACATTTTGGACTACAAATCCGTCATTTCATTGACTACATTAGAGATCTGCGCGGGACTAAATTTTGAATCCCGCTCCCGCCCGCCAGGTTTTAGCCCGAACCCGACCGCTCCCGCTTATATTAAGAATTTATTGTCCCGCTGCCCGACCCGCCCCGTTTTCTGCCCGCCGCGCCCGATCCCGCTAAAGAGCGGGGGAGAACAAAACCGAAAATCCCCCAGCTATACAGTCCAGACAGCCAAGCTGTCTGTATAAACACACACACACACACACAGCACCAAGCACACACACACAGACAAATCTCTCTCTCTCTCATACGCGCGCGAGCGCACTAACACACACACAAGCACCGAGCAGACACACAGGCGTTTGCTGTTATATCAACTCAAAGGCTTGTAATACCATGTATCAAGTACCAATGTAATACCAAAAGGTTTTATATAAAGGTATATAAATACCGAGTCGCGCCAGCTCCGGGCCGCAGCGCACATTACTTTTGGGCCAATTCCGGCGCGGTTGCGGCAGCGTCGGCTCGCTTACGGCTGCCGCATCTGGCCCGATTGATTCGGGTCGGAATCAGGCAGTGAGTCCACAAGCATCCGGAGTCCGGCAGCCGGAGCCGGGCTGAGTGGTAAGTCTCTGGCAGGCGAGAATCTAGCCGGAACTGGCCCGAGTGTATTTTGCTATCTGGGAAAGCTGTCTCTCTCTCTCTCTTTCTCATTCGCATAGCAATATCCGCGATATTGCTAGACAGCCCGCTCCCGTCCCAAATTAAACCCGTTACCGACCGCTCCCGCGATTTATTCGGAAATTTATTCAAATTTAATGCAGACTCTAGACTACATCTCTATACATGCACTCCTCTAACGCACACATGTTCCATATCCTGACTGATTGCATACACACTCCTGTGGAGGTGAGGGACTTCATTAGAGACACATGACTGGTTCTGTGTGGCAGTATGCTGATGTATTGTGAGGGTCAGACATGTGAGGAGAAATAATTGAAAAAGGAAAAAACATATTTTTTGACTGCAACTGAAGGCCAATCATGTAATATTGGTCAAATTCTAATATTTGCCAAACTGCTTAAAGATTTTGGGGTCTGTAAGATATTTATGTTTTCTTACATTTGTCACAATCGCCAGCGATCTAAACTCTATAGATCGCTGGAATACACGGACTACAAATCCGTCATTTCATTGACTACATCTCCATACATGCACTCCGCTAACACACACATGTTCCATATCCTGACTGATTGCATACACAATACCGGAGGATTGTCAAAGACTGATTACACACACTATTTAGGTAGCACACACACTCATTCTAGGCGCCAAGTTTTGTTTACTGTTAGTGACATTTCAATGTGTTTTCTTTGTCTTGTTTTGCCGTGTTTTTACCCTCGCCTTGTTTAATTGTGATGGTGAAAGGAAGCTTTCTGAATCAGTGAACCGCTCAACTCAATTGTATAAGAAAAAGGTTCGTTACTCGAAGCTTTCCAAGTCAGAGCTCGATGAGGACCTCTGCTGGTTAAAGTGTGGGAAAGCACTGTGTTGCAAAAAATGTCAAATTGTCACAACTGACCAGTTCATTCATGTAGTAATACAACAACAGTAATATAAACTAATTACTCAATTACTGTAGTTTATTACATTACACTACCAATGACTGTAGTGAAATCCAAGATATTCAAAAGTTTTTATAGTTATCGTATTCCAACTGGTCTTTTCCCCACTGCTTTGTTCCAAGCGAGGATCGAACCGGCGATTCCTGCATGTGAGACGAATGCTCGAGAAAAAGTTATGTAAAATCAATGTAAAGCTACATGGTTGCCGTGCACTTTTCTCCTATGTTTGCTTTTGAAAACACTATTGTTTGTGTTTAGGAAAGGGTTTAGATCAATGCTCTTCTAGGTCAGGGGTGTCCAAAGTCAGTCCTGGAGGGCCGGTGTCCTGCAGTGTTTAGCTCTAACTTCCTTCAATACAGCTGCCTGGAAGTTTGTAGTATACCAAGAAAGAGCTTGATTAGCTGGTTCAGGCGTGTTTAATTGGGGTTGGAACTAAAATATTCAGTACACCGGCCCTCCAGGACCGAGTTTGGATATCCCTGTTCTAGGTGATCTGTATGACAAACAGTTAGTTTGTCATACTTCTCGCGGACATGTACAAGAAGGACGTATATCTAAAACGTACCCCAAGTAATGTATTTCAGATTTGAAAAATGTAGATAGCGCCCTCTAGTGGATTTGTCATCTGAAATGTGCAACAAAGTGTACCCTGAACAATGTATTTTACTAAAAAAGTAGACCAAGGCATGGATTTCCAATGAGCCTGGGCTGATATGTTCTTCAGACCAAAACAACTATACTCATTTAGATTAGAGTCTATTGATTTTAACCCTTAAACCCCAAATCTGTTGCAGACAGAAAAGAATAGTGTCACTTTTGTAAGTCAGTTTTTGTTCACCCTAATTGCCTAATAACAAACCTGTCCTCTCATTTGCTATTGTGATCACAGGATTTTATGGTCCTGTGGAGGTGAGGGACTTCATTAGAGACACATGGCTAGTTCTGTGTGGCAGCATGCTGATGTATTGTGAGGGTCAGACATGTGTGGAGACTAATTTGCACTTTGCAGCAGAGAAGCGTGAAGTATGTAATGGACAAAAGATATATTGTGGTCCAACATCAGTGACCACAGGAATTGAAATGGATTGTTTTTTATTTTTAAAAATAGGATGTCGGTGAGTTTTACATATATCAGAACACTACATTTAACCCCAGATCTAAGTTCATAGACAAAGAATTACTCTAAATGTGACCATAAAACCGGTTTTAAGTGTTAGTTTTTGCGACTATCATCTGAGGCTGATTCATAGGCTTTCCATGAATGTGTTGTTTGTTAGGATATAAGCCAATATTAGGCTGAGATACAACTGTTTGACCATGTGGAATTGAAAATTCCCATTAAAGTTGTCTTAATGAAGTTTGCAGCAATGCACATTATCAATACAAAATTGAGTCAGTAGGAAAAAACTATAACATATAACTTCATATTTAATTAATATCCTAATGATTTTTGGCATGAAAAAAAAAGAAATCTGTAATTTTGACCCATGCTACTGTATGTGTTTTTGTTTATTGCCAAAAATATACCTGTCTAACTAAAAAGGATTTTAATCCAGAAAAAAAACTCACTATTTACTACTATTTACTCTCCCTCAAGTGGTTTTTAAAGCTTTATGAGTTTATTTATTCTGTTGACACAAAGGAAGAAAGCTGTAAACCTCATTGACTTCCACAGTAAGAAAAACTAATTCTATGGAAGTCAATGGTTACAGGTTTTCAGCATTTTTCAAGATATCTTCTTTTGTTTTTAACAGAAGAAATGAACAAGTAATGGGTGAGTAAATGATGACGGAATTGTTATTTTTGGGTGAACTATATATCACTTTAACTCAAGTGGTCTCAAAGTATATAAAGATTATAATATATACTAATATAAGATAATGATATAATACAAAGACTAATATAAGATAATAATGTAATATAAATATTTAGTTTAAAAAAATGCTCACAATATTGCTCAGCTATAATCTGATCGACACAAAGGAATGATATAACCGAAATCATTTTATTAAATTTTTTTTTACAACTAACGTACAATAAAACCATTCAAAGCCAATCAAAATCCATCATACATTAGCAAGCATTTAGCTTCAGCTCTTGCATATAATACACAATGGGCCTCATTCAGTTTATTCGACTATGTGTGTGCACAAATTTGCCTTCAAACGTTGTCTCAGTCTTGATTCACCAAAATTTTGGTGCTTGTGAAAAGCTGCATTATATCTCAAGCTATGAGGTTACATTTTAAAGACTAATAAAAGGTCTGTAATCTGCATTAAAGGTGCTTATTGTGTTTGTAAATGGTACACTTTGCCCACTACGTCTTTAACCCTTTATCAAAGCCATATATTGTCTTGGTTTTGACATTGAATCCAATACAAAAAAAATTAATTTTTAATAGTCTTATAATAAACCCCAGTAACTTTCAAAATCACCAGCAATCTAGCCCTTATTGAGATCATTCGAACTACAATTCTGCCACTGAACTGCACTACATTTCCCATCAGGCACTTCACACACACACCAGTTCCGGATCACCCATGATTGCACACACACAGCTGAAGCTGTTGTAAGCACTGATGACCAAGACTACTGTAAATATGCAGCTCTCATTCTCACACACATGGCTGAGTCTTGTTGTTGTTCTCCTTGTTTATTTTTCCCTGTGTGACCCTTGCCTTGTTTACATTGATTGCCGCCTGTATTGACCTCTTTGTCTGTGACCTTTACCATGCTTCTGGATTACCTTTATGCTCCGGTTTGTACCTGTTGACGTCAGAGTTCGGTACGTTTAGCTGTTTTGGATACTGTCTTCTGAACGT